GCCTCAGAGACTGCAGCTGTTAGAAAAGCCAGAGGTTGTTCAACAAAATACTAGTGATGTTATAGTGTTTTTGTGTCTTTGTTTTTCATGATTCCATCATTTTTTTTCCCTCAGAATTGAGTGATTCCATATTTCTCCCCCTCTGCTGGCACAAAAATGAAACCATCACTGACTACCACAACATTTTCTTGATTTCTTTTAGTGTTTCTTAAAGCCAGAAAGTTGTCATTTGAAATGACTTTAGTTTTGTGTCATGTCTGTGATCTGCTTTTTTCCACAGAATTAAACAACTGTACGAACATAGTCTGAGGCCGGTGATTCCATATGTTTTGCCAGAGGTTGTAGAACCACTCTGCTACAAATTCTACACCACCTGTAAATACTTCAGCATAAAAATGCAATAAAGTGAGTGTTGAGTTCTTAAATGCACAAATGCAGTTTATCCGTAGTGAACTCATAAGATGTTTAAACTGATAGGAACTATTTTTCAGCCCTAAAATCTCAAACATAGAGCTGAGATATGATCATGGGTGTGATGGTTTCTCTATTCTCTTCAATCWTCTCCATTGCTGGGTTTTGTCATTGTGTCCTTGGGCAAGACATTTCACCTGCCTTGCCTACTGATGGTGGTCAGAGGGTCTGGTGGCGCCTGTGCATGGCAGCCTCGCTTTTGTCAGTGTGCCCGGACAGCTGTGGCTACAATGTAGTTTACCACCATCAGTGTGTGAATGTGTTAATTCCTCTTAGTGTAAAGTGCTTTGGGGTCTGTAGGGACTTGATAAAGCTCTATATAAGTTCAGTCCATTTACCAATTGTTTGAAATGAAGGTGGGAGCTCAGCTCGCGATAGTTAATGAAGATGATGTAATTCCAAATCTATCCTAGATGTGAGCTACAACTGTGATTGGTTCCCCATGAGGRACATAGTGTGGCCAATTGCATTTAAAGAAAGAAAACAGCAACAGCTGATTACAAAGCTATGCTGAACCAAAAGTAACAAGTAACTAAAAGCTTCCTAGAAATGTAGTCGAGTAAAAAAGTATGATATTTGCCTTTGAAATGTAGTGGAGTGAAAGTAATAAGTACCCAAAAAATATTTATTCAAGTAAAGTAAAGATACTCAAAAAATGTACTTAATTACAGTACTCAAGTAAATGTACTCTACTACTGTCCATCACTGCCAGTTGGCAAGGCAGGTGAAGTGTCTTGCTGAAGGACACAATGATATGGGCATGGCAGGTACTCGAACCTGTGACTAGCGGGTCCCAAAACCAGCTGCTCTACCACTACACCACAGCTATGCATGTTCACTATAAGAACAATTGTAACACTGAAAATGAATAACCTTTCTGAAATGTCTCAAATAGAAAAGAAAAAATATATATAAATAAAATGCTAATATAAAATATATACTGTAGTGTTTTTATAAAGCACGTAATTCAGTTCTATACCACAATCAAGTAACTTTAGCTGCATTTCCATTGACCATGAAAATGCGCAAATTGGAATTTCGAAAATAAATTTGTTCAATGGAAACAAGTCAATTTCAAAAAAACTTACGTTTTTCGACAAAACGTTTTTGCGCAAGGATGAGGTGGTATTTCTGCCTCATCGAAATAGATGTTTTTCACAAAACTGCAATGGAAACACTTTTTTCGCATCACGGGAGTCACGTGATCAA